TGTTTGAGAGAATATGGATAAATTGTGTTTGTCTTCAACAGCTTAAAACAATGGGTATTAAAGACCACATGGGTTCTGATGGAATAGTGTAACAATGAACAATGAAGACAGTACGGAAGATATTGGCTGTTGACTAGAATGCAGCATTTTGTGCCAGATAAATACTGACATCAAAGTTTTCCTTTCTGCTGCCTTTTTAGTCCCTCTGTCTCTAGTAGTGCATGGTGTTCCCACTTACCATCTTTCTTGTTCTTCTTCACAGTCTTCAGAATTGTACTGCATGTACCAAACATTACAGATATGAAAAACTAAAGCATTAATCAATCACATTGATCCATGTAATTTCATGCATCTGTTACTTGAGAAGGTAAACAGATCCCAGGACGTGACTGAGGGCTTTTCCACAAAAGCTGTGTTCAGAAGGGGGAAAACACAAAGCAAGAAAAACATATCTTAGCATTAAATAGCTATGTCAGCAGACTGTTGACTGCAGCATAACCTGTTATTTGGTTCTGATGTGTGTCTGGGCCAGCAAGTAAGAGAACATACTTAATACTCTTCTCATGAAAGAGGATCTCAGTTCCTGGTAGGGGAGGAGGCATAATGCTGTCTGTTGAGTCTCCAGTGGCATTTCTGAAAAGTGCCAGCTAACACAGTCTATTCCCTTGGGGCAGATGCTAAGGCTACTCCAGCAGTACTCTCCCTTGCACTCTGTAAAAAGACCAGGCAGACAGAGAATAAACTTCCATCTGCCTTAACACAAACTGTCTGAGAGAAGGATAGAGAAAAGCATCACTAGCATAAACATCAATTAAAATAGCCCACTGCAGATTTAATACCAAGAAAATGTCAGGATTCAGGATTTCCTTAGTGTTCACCCAAGACAGCACTGGTTCCATAGTAACAGGGTGAGAACTATGCAGCTTGATGCCTGCAGTGCCACGGTGCATGATGTTGTACTATAGAAGAAATATAGGTGAAGGGAGAAAGAGGAAACAGGGCAGTGGAGGGATGCTGTAAAGCCCCTGTGAGACTTAAATCAGATGAGGGCTCTTACTGCAATCAATGTAAATCCCTCGTCATCCAGAAAACAGATAAATGGCAGAGCAGAAAAGTAAAAAGGAATTTTCTCCCATGAAAATTAACCAAATAAAATCAGTTTTATGTTTTTCCTTTTTATCCATCAAAGGTGACTTTTCAGGTTGTCTTGGCAGGTTTTAAATTCCTAATACATTTTGCTTAAGGTTACTGAGACTGGAATCCTTTTTCCCCAAAATGTGGAGTGTGTGGGACACTGGTGTTTGCTTAAGGTAACATTAACGCAGTCTTGTCAAATTGAGGTTTATTGAGTTTCCACTTCATTTCTTCTCTTGGGATGTGGAACTTGACTGACCCGACACCTTACCTCATGTGACCTAGATAGGATGTGGATAGTCCTTGTATTGTCACCAGTTTAATGAAAAAAAATAAAAATGTAAAAGTAGTCCAAAGCACATATTTACTTTCTGAAGCTGCTCTGAGTGTTTTGCTGCTCCCTATGAATAAAAGTCAATATTATTTATCCTCATAACATCTCTGAAGTAACTCTAAATTCATATGGATGAGGTATTTTTTGGTAATCAAAGTGTGTTTGGCTTAAAATAGGGACATGGAATTAGTACTGTGAAAAACAAAACAAAACAAAAATCTCCACCACCAACAAAAAAGCATTCATATAAAATCCAATTCTAAAAAAAAAAAAAAGTATTTCTAACCAATGAAAGACTATTCTGGCAACTGTAGAATTGCAAAAGTAAATGTGCTTTGTGGCTGGAAACAAACAAACAAGCAATTAAGCTAATTCTATAATATAAATGAAAATAGCAAGACTGCTTTGAAGAAATTAATTCTTGAGCATCACCTATTGATGACCAGTCTGACACTGTAAAATCAAAATTTGCGATTAGTTTATCATAAACTTTCTTCTGATTTTCTTGCAGGATTTGCATATTTATTATTTATAACCATACGAAGCAATATTAAAATGCTCTTCAAGAATCAAAGGCTAGACATTAAAAGTTTTTTTTTTTGTTTTGTTAGTTTTTCAAGAAAAACAATGGAACAAATAAAGGACAGTAGTGAAGGAACACCCACAACATAATAAAGTTACAAATAATAAATAGGATGAATTTTTTAAAATTGTAACTGGTAACAGAGTTTGTGCATTGGTGAGAAGTGATAGCTGTGACAGATTTTAAGTGCAGACTTTGGCACTATCTCATATAATATTCCAAAGGCAAGCTAGAAAGTTATAGTCTCCACTAAACATCGCATGAGTGCAGAAGTACTAGGTCAATCATAACCAAACTGCAATTTTGTGGGAGAGAAAATTGTTGGTGAATGGAAGGAAGTATGGAAGGATTTCAGGGATCTGCGTTGGCTCTATGACTGCTAAGAGTTTCACTTATGCCCTTAGTGATAGAATAGAGCAAGCATCTAGTAGCTTTTCTGGGATATCAATTTGGGAGCTCCTGACCAGCAAACTATCTAGTTTTGTATGTTGCATTGCAAGAAATATATGGATTAATACAAGAATCATGTGAGAGAAACAAGAACTATCAGAACTGTAAAAAAATAAAAAAATAAATCTACTTCAGAAAAACAGAAAACAACTAATAAATTCAAATTAAATTAATCTGGAGAGGGGTCTGATATCAAACTTCAAGAGTGCAATGGATTTTTAGGCTGGAAGAAAAACTTTCAAGTGGAAGGCTAGAATACTAAGGTTATGAAATCTATTGTACAGCTTTAAGGAACAGCTTAGAAAGACACCTACAAGGAATTAGTTTAATCAGTACAACTGCGAGCAGGCCATATGTTTCTTTTCTTATGATTTTTAAGAAACATCTTTTTAAAGTGTTTTGGTTTTAAGTTTGATGAATAGTGACCTTAGGTAAGAAGTTGTGACTTTTTTTTTTTTTTTTTTTTTGGGGGGGGTGGGGGGCAGTGGTTGTCAAGGTTGGATATTGCAAACATGTTTGCATTTTTGTTTGCAAAACTGGGACTTGACTCCAGATGAATTCAAAAATAATATGCATAATTGGTCTTCCTAATGTAGTACAAAAACCTGACTTCCACTGTTGTCAATGATCCATCCTCTAGCACTGGGGCCAAAAAGCTGATGCACTCTGACCCCATGCAGTGCTATTATGGCTGCCACTTTAATTTTTATGGCCTGTTATGAAAACTGCTGTTAAGCAATAAGACCTAACTAGGCATGACTCCTGCTGGGCAGACAGCCATGCTTGGCCTATTTGTGTAAAACAAAGGATGCAGGCAGGATACCATAGACAGCTAGAAGAGATGAGACAGAATATGAACTGTGTGTCAGTTATTCCCGGACCACATGTAGTCTGCATGTATGTGAATAAAACAGCTTGATCTGGTTTATGTTTAGTTTTTCAGGGGGTGTGCTTTGAGGGTGAAGATGGAAGAGGAATTATTATAAACCATAGCTTCAATAACTCTTTCCACAAAATATACTCTAAAACATAGAGAAAACAGGGCAGTGTCTTTATGCTTCTCAGGTCTTATTGTAACATTCAGGACTTTATGAATTGGAAAATGATGGGACAGCAAGATGTTAACACACAGTCAAAAACGAAGAATGCAGAACTTGCTGTATCTATTTGATCATGTGATTTGTATTGAAGGCTCTGAGCAAATCTTGACATTATTTTATTTTATTTTTTATTTTTTACAAATGTCTCCTTAGTTGGGGCAATGTTTTATACCCCTTAAGTGCAACTGTTTGAATATTTTATAAAGATGTTTTGGTTGAGGGTACACAGTCTGTGTCACCTTGCGACAAGTGAATTCCCATTCCTTACTGACTATGTTATAAATGAAAACATTTTCAAATAAGGAGAAGCTATGTTACTGCCAAAAGTGATAGTGTCAGAAACAAACATGGTCCCTAAATGAAAAAAAATCGTATGTGTCTATTGACTTGCAATGGCTAAACATCATTTTACTCTGCCTGGCTGAAAACGTGTATCACTGCTATGTGGGCGAAAAAGGAATTACTCGAGCTTAAGTGTCCTTAACTGATTCATAAGACTCCCTTCAGATGGTAACACTAACAGTAACTGATGACTGTCCCCCTTACCCTATATGAATATATATCTGTATAACTACAAAATCTGAACATGCATGAGCTTTTGTGCCATACCTGACAGCCATGTGATTTCTGCGTCTTGCTGAGTTCTAAAGTCTCTGCCTATACATCACTTCATAGAAATCATGTCAGAGTGGTGCTCTAAAAACTACTTTATTTTTATTTTAAAATTACTGTAATCAACAGCAAAAATAATATAATTAAGAAAAAAAATGTATTGTTATTCACCATTTTTATAATGTTTATTTTCTGTTCTTTAAACAGAAAGGAATATGTAACATTAAAGGAATATGCTATATATTAACAAGCTTCTTGAGTTTTAGAGCCATCTGAATTTCAGCCATAAGAAATCACGTTGACACTCCCTGTTGTCTGTGCTGGCCAACATATTTTGTCCTGATTCTGTCTTTTAAGAAGATTATTCTTTAATCACAACTAAAACAAACCTGAAATTTTTTCAAGTAGAAGATACATTTCAATTTTAATATCTGTCAGCATGACTAGCAGTTCAGATCACTAAACTTGATTGAAAATACTTAAAAAATCTAAATAAACATAGAAAGTAAGTGTACTGCATAAACAATAATAAATAATATGCACTGAGTATTAGACAAGGTATCTCAACAGAGCCTTTGAATAATGCAAAAAGTTAAAAAACACAAAGAGAACATGATCATAACATCGTCCTTTTTTCCTGTGCTTCTCTTGCAGGGAAGCTGAGATGCACAGAACACATGGGAGTAACATTTGCATGGAGGATGGCACTGACTGCTTTGTGACACATGCAGAAGAGAAGCACTTTCTGAGTGGCACTATCTACAGTTGGTCCAGGATGGATACTTACCCAGGGGATAAATGATGCATCTTCAAGGCAGAGGAGAGGTCCCCAGCTGGCTTCCAGGCCTGGGTAGATATGACACGCTGCTGTCAAGTGCCCTCACAAAGCACTGCCCTCTTTTTCTTCCCAGATCTCTGCCATCCTTTATCCTGTCCCAGATGTCCTTTCACAGCTGCCCAATCCCACCTGATTCATGTTTTTAATACTCTCAATTAAAAAATTAGTAATTAAAATGAAGCCCCCTTTGCCCATATTACTCTCAGCCTTTACACTGCTCCATCTGCCTGTTCCCAGTCTCCTTGTTTTTAAAAAGACTCATTAGCATGTGATCTTGTCCCTGCCAGGATTCCCCAGTGCCATCTGCTCCCTTCCTACATGATCAGTCCCACCCAGATCAGTGTTTACCATACTCAAAAATCAAACATGTTTTCCGAGCACTGGTTTTGAAGAATGCTTTTGTGATTCTCTACCAAAGACAACTCCAATCAGCCTCTGCCCACATTGCCAATGCCATAGAAGGCCATAGAAATGCCATAGAAATGATGTATTCCCGGATATGTGGGGTCTTTGTGGCAACAACGTATCAGTATGCTTTGGGCTATTCAACCATATGTTGTGTTATTTGCTTAAGGCATTTTGATCTGATTGAGTGAGGACCAAAGAGTAAACTAACACCTTCCTAAACTCAACATCCTCCTTGTGGAAGGACTTTGTGTATACCATTAAATTTTAACTCCAACATAAAAACATGTTCATATTATAGTGCTTGGAAGAGTTTTCAAAATAGACCTTCTTTTTCCATTTTCCCTAGATATTTTCGAGGCATGTTCTGCTTATAAAGAGGAGAAGCAAGTGGAGTAATGTCCTCTGCTTACTAGAGAACTGCTGAAGAGTGTCCCAGACTTTTTCCTTACATTTGAGCTAGGAGCTCCAGTGGGTGACTTGCAATAATCCTGCTGCTCTTTGCTTCAGGCCTCCTCCCTGTGAGTGAAGTGGGACTTACTGTACATTTTTGTGCCCATCCTCCTACCCGGAAGTGATCTGGGCCCTCTCTTATGTAACTTAAGACTTCAGAGAATGCCTGCACCTGATATTGGGATTTTTAGAACTCAGCAGTGGTCAAATGTCTGCCTCTGGCAGCTGCTGTGGGCTGCCTGCTTCATAAATGCTCCATACACCCTACCTGAGACAACATTAGATCAGAACAGGAAAAAGTCAGAAGTAGTTTAAACCCATTTTTCCAGGTTTATGCAGCCATGCACTTAACATAGGACAGTGACTTTCAATACTGAGCATCACAATGTTCACCCCTTTAAAGATCCAGCTCTATGATAACAGAAGTCTCTCCTCCAAATCATGTAAAATGTGCCGATGAATCTGAGGTCAATGAATACAATCTATTAAGACTTAAAAACAAAGCACAATAAAACAAACAAAAAAACAAAAACAGGAAAGAAAAATAATTTGTACTTACATTTTTGTGTTGCTTGCTACTGGTTATGAAGACTGTTATTAGAAATGTGGTGGGTCCTTAAGCTTGAAAATATGTTAATTTTCCTCAGTGGAGGTTACACTTGATGGGATCTGTGGGTGGGGTGAGGAAAACTTGTTCCCTATGATTTGTACACACTGAAACCACTGATGTGTAAATATCTGCAGGAATGCTGTAAACTCAACAAGAAGATTTTTTTACTCGATATTTGAGTGTCTTCAGTACAACAGTGTTTTTACAATACACATAAAGTTGCTGATGGTATCTGCAAAGTGCAGTCATTGTGCCTGTGTCATGGGTGAAATTGCATTAAGAATTAACAAAACCTAGCACATGAACTCAACCAATACCGTACCCTCCTCCCTAATTAATATATATTTCTTATAAGTACTTTTTGAAACATACTAATATGATTTCTTTTGTGTCCTACAATTTTGTTTATATTAAGCTACGAGGGAAGGGAAGGGAAAGGAAGGGAAGGGAAGGGAAGGGAAGGGAAGGGAAGGAAGGGAAGGGAAGGGAAGGGAAGGGAAGGAAGGGAAGGGAAGGGAAGGGAAGGGAAGGGAAGGGAAGGGAAGGGAAGGGAAGGGAAGGGAAGGGAAGGGAAGGGAAGGGAAGGGAAGGGAAGGAAGGGAAGGGAAGGGAAGGGAAGGGAAGGGAAGGGAAGGGAAGGGAAGGGAAGGGAAGGGAAGGGAAGGGAAGGGAAGGGTTGCGCTTTCAGATATAGGATTTACAGTCATGTCCCCATACCAATTAAAATGTCCCACTTTTTTTTTTTTTCTTTTTTCTTTTTTCTTGTTTTCTTTTTTCTGTAATATATATACTTTTTCATTATAAAAGAAATATTAAGACCAAGTGTTCAAAAATATTTGTGTGGATTTAACTATTTAACCAGTCAGAATCTTAGAAAATTTAAACTGTGTGTGTCATATGGAGTAGTTTGGACATCAGATATTCCCAAATACATTTTTCAAATTAGTTTCTTTACTCCTGATGTATACATATGAAGGTCATCTGTGCAGCTGGAAGAGATAGGACAATATATTAAGCCCCAGAAAATCACTTATTATGGTAGATAGAAATTTAGTTACTTTCATAAACACCCTAAAGATAAAATGAAGTGCTTTATTTTGGAATTAAAATAGTATAGTATATTTCTCAGAGTCATTTGGAAGATATCTGCTGTATTGTTTTATCCAAATGATGACTGTGCCTTAGCTCTCTAACAAAATAAAGGTAAAGGGTAATTTTGAGTTTCCAGTAGGATTTTTCTATCATACAAACTGTAGCAGCCAGATTTTCTAAATGAGAGAAACCCTCATATCTGAAAAAGCCTGGAATTGGTCATTACAGGAGCCAAGCTGTTTAGTCGTTGGCATAGCCACATAAATTATCACAACAACAATAACAACAACAACAACAAAGTAAATAAACTCATTGCAGGAATTAAATGGTCAGGCTGAAATACCACTCTGTTGGAGATATCTGGAAGGTATTTGTAGCCCCCCAAAACACCTTCCCTTGTTTTCTCTTAAACTGTCTGAGAAAGCAAAAGAAACCATGGCTGCTGATGAAATTGCAACTTACCTTTCCATTTATTCCCACCTTTAAAATCACATTTGTAAAGCCTACAAAACACTGCAAGGTAGACATCTGCTTATTCTGGGATAGATCCTCTAGGAATGCACTTTATCAAAATTTACTGTTCTTCAGCCAACAGTGAGCCTCATTTCCTTGCTACCCTTGGCAAAATCTAGGTAGTAAATTGTTTGTGTTATGGTCATGTATGCTGAGAGATGAGCAAACTATTCCTTGTTCCCATCTCCAGATGATGTTGTGCTTCAAATAAACAAGGTCACTTTTGGGGATAATGTCACTTTAGGCAAGGTGTACCTTCTTTCCCAAACAGAACTTTCCATCTGGCACAGACACTGTAAGACTGCTGAATGCTGCTTGTCAGTGTTTAAAATCTGAACAACTGTAACACAGTGGCATGAATGTGTCAACATTATTTATGTCAACATTCTTTACCTATCAATGTTATCTGAACCATTTATTTAGCAAAATGATATATTAACAACTTAGTACAGTTAAGCATGAAGTAGTCTAACATCAGGAAGTGTATATTTCTCCTAATTGCTCAGAAACCTTAATGAATTTCTGTCTTAAAGAAAAACAAACAAACAACACCAAAACCAAAGCAAAACAAAGCATGTCAGTATTATATACTGGGTTGCAGAACAGATTTTCAGATTATTTGAGACTGCTGTGTTGGTATTACAGCAGAACCAGATACAAAAATACCATCCTCAAAGCATATTTTCTCTGTTGTAATTTGGATGCATATATTCCACAGACAATCAGACTATATGCACATACCCTTTACAAAACTTACGTGATTCCAGCTATTAAACTGTGTGAATTTTGAAGGGAGATTTCAGTACTCAAGGAAGTTTTCTTAAAGGGAGGCTGCAGTAAAGATGGGGAGGGACCGTTGCTCAGGAAGTGTAGTGACAGAACAAGGAGTGATGGTTTTAAACTAAAAAGAGGAGAGATTTAGATCAGATATAGGGAAGAAATTCTTTACTCTGAGGGTGGTGAGGCAATGGAGTAGGTTGCCCAGAGAGGTTGTGGATGCCCTATCCCTGGAAGTGATGGCCTTGAAGGCCAGTTTGGATGGGGCTTTGAGCATCCTATTGTAGTGGAAGGTGTCCTTGCTCACAGCAGTGGGTTTGTTATTAGATAGTCTTTAAAGACCCTTCCAACTCAAACCATTCCATGATTATATGATTTTCCTACTATGGAAGTACATGAGTCTGAGTGCAACATAAATATATTCAGACATTAGTATGTGAACTTGGCTCAGCAGCCAGCTTTGGTTCACTGAACTCACTCTCTTTCTTTCTTTCTTTCTTTCTTTCTTTCTTTCTTTCTTTCTTTCTTTCTTTCTTTCTTTCTTTCTTCTTCTTTCTCTCTCCTTTCTTTCTTCTTTCTTCTCTCTCTCTCTCTCTCTTTCTCTCTTTCTTTCTCTCTCTTTCTCTCTCTCTCTCTCTCTCTCTCTCTCTCTCTTCCTTCCTTCCTTCCTTCCTTCCTCCCTTCCTTCCTTCCTTCCTTTTCTTTTCCTTTTTTTCTATTTTCTTTTTTTTATTTTTATCCTACATTTAATACTGGTAATTATTAATATGCACTTATTAAGCAGCATTCAGTACTGTAACTCTGTCTATCTCAAAGCTTCACTAATAAGTGAAAGACTTCTGCAGCTCCTTTTAAGAGCTTTTAAGTGTTGATTTTACTACAGAACAGAGTATTCTGGTTTAGTGCTTTCTTGTGTTTTCTGTCTCCAATAATATAAATTTGGATAATGGTGCAACATCATCTCATTCAGCAGGTTGCATTAGTGATCTCTTATCCTCAGTCATGGTTCCTAGTCACAGCATGTTTCACATCTGTAAAAGATTGCTGTGCTGTATCTTTTCCTCAGCTGAACTTTAATTGGAAGCACAACTGCAAAAGCAGAAAGTTCAGCTGGGAAGCCCTGTAATGTATCTTTAAGTCAATGGTCACTGCTTCCTGTTCATCTACACTGAAGCGTGTTAAGTTGCTGACGTGCACTTTTTTGCAGTATGACTTCATTTACTGGACTGGTGCCAT